TATATATATATATTTATAAATACGCATGTATACGCGCACATATGAGTTTAAACTTCCCACTTCTCATTATGTGACTATACTTTTAGTTTGCCATATAAATACATGCGTGTTTCATGCATGAGTACATTATGAGTTTTTAACCATTTTTATTTGGTTTGTACAATTGAGAAAAACAGTGATATTGTGCACCAAACAGCACAGATATTAGTATATATCGGTGAAGAAAAAAAAAGATAAAGTTTGATGTATTTGTTAAGGCAGAAAGTGAAATTTGTGTGAAACTTTGAGGTTATGTGTGATTGTGAACAAATGACAGTGGTTTAAATATTTTACAATGGCAAATTTGAAAAATATGAATGCTGATTTTGAAGAACTTTCACATGACACAAACCTAATTGCTAAGTTAGAACAATTCAGCAACGCAGCTTTCAAAATCCAGGACATGGTGGAATTGGCCAGCGACCCTTTACTCTCCGATAAACTTTCCGCAGCAGACAAGATTCAATATAATTTGCTGCTATCCTACAGTCTTAACAGTCTGTTCTGGATGTATTTAAAAGCTGAAGGTTTTTTACTTTTTCAGCTTTAGAACAATATTTATCTTAAAATGTAATAATATTAATAATATTTTATATTTACACATTAACTATTAGATTGTTGTCAAATTGCAGGGATTGATCCAACAAACCATCGGATCAGATCACAGAATGAACGACTGAAGAAGGCAATGATGCGTGCAAAACAGATTAACGAGGGAAAAACACTTATGCCACGTCTCAACAAGGATGCTGCTAAGAGATTTGTTAGAAGTGGTTTATGGGAACCAAAACAAAAGAAGCAGAAGAAGATGGAGAATAACAATTAATTTGAAGTATTGCTATCTACATAAGTAAATTTTGTTATATCCCTATATATTATATATTTAAAGCAATAAAGTAAGTATTTTCTACATATTTTTTACATATGTAGTATAACATTTTATTTGTTATTATAATCAATACCTTATTCTTTCTGTGATTCTTTGAGAAACAGTTTGATTCAATTATTTTTATTACAATATTTAAGAGATCAGTTTAAATGTAAAATGGGTACTGTACAATAAAAACTATTGTCGTCACATGGTGTATATTCCGTTATTTTTATAATATAGTTATAGTCTATCATATGATATATAATCGATGTATATTTGCCATTTTTCCAAATGTTAATCTTATTTTTTCTATTTTATTCCGTTATAATCTTCCATTGCAACATAAAGATTATCTCTTTGGGGCTTATCTATATGTGTATATAATTTAAGGATATATTCATATAACTTGCATTTGCATTATGCTGGTTGTATGAATAAGCCCGTAGATAAGAGTATATTCACATTACCTGTATATGAATTATGCAACTTGTGTGATTATATCCTTAAGTTAAATCAACCATTCATAAACTTATTTCAAGCCTTTACGCTAGGGAATAATATGCCTGACAACCAATCAAAAACGACTGAGGCAATCAACCTAAAGTTTTTCTGGAAAAAATAAAACGTATATAACAGCAAACGATTATCGGTATCGTGTTGCATGCAGAAACCACGCAAATCACGCCAACTCAGAAAAGACGTCGCATAAACGAGACTCACGGGGGCGCCGTGGTTGCGGTCGCGGCTGGCGTGAGCGTCCTTGCAATCGATGTTGTGAACCCCTATTACGATCTAACGACGCGCAGGCGCAACACGGTCTTCTGGTTAGAGTATCCATTTTGATCACATGTGAGTACCTCGAACTGCTCTCGCTTTCGGCTTCAAACTAATGGTGCTAATTGCTCGCACGAGTGACGGAACGTTGGAAATACGCGAGTGAATCTCGTGCCGGTTCGTATCCGCGTAACAAAGACGCGCTAAAGCGGTTTTTATACGCTGTGCATGATGACAGCGGTCGGCGCTGGCAATGTGGCTATTCGCGTTCTCGTCTTGTTCGGTTCTCGTATTCTCGCATTTGCATCGCACGAAATACACTGTGTACGACGACGGCGGGTTTACAGATGTTACGACATCGGTTGTGAGCGTGCTCTCATTGCGATTTTAACGCACTACAAAATTTACGCGGATCTCCCGCCCTCGTCGCGTGAGACATCTTTGGTTAGTCGCGCTCCGATCCGCTTCTGATACCTTTCGCTGCGAACTCGCTGCGACGACGCGCCACGTGGTCACAGTGTTCGTCCGGGTGTAACCATATTATATGATTCTTGGTGATTCGTGCACTGCGCATTAGCTTCGAAAATTCGATCATTGCACCATTAGAATATATAGATATCTCATAAAGACGAAAACTGCTCCGTCACGTCTGTCGGTATTTTTCTTCATTCATTTTTTTTAACGTTAGCATTAATATTTCTCTTCTGATATTTGTTGGACGAACTGATAGATGAATAATTTTAGAATTGTTTTATTTAAGATAACTTTTATTCGTCATTAGCACGTGAGGTTTAGCAAATTCTAGTGAAGTATACTATTAGCATTAACACATGTTGCTTTAGATTATTGTTACTTGGAGTAACTTGTAGATCTCATAAGTTAGAGCTGATGCAAATGTATACTTCTACTTTCAGAGACATTCTTAAAACATAACAATGGCAGACATCGAGGATACTCATTTTGAAACTGGAGACTCAGGTGCCTCCGTTACGTATCCTATGCAGTGCTCAGCACTGCGCAAAAATGGCTTTGTCATGTTAAAATCGCGTCCCTGTAAGATTGTAGAAATGTCTACATCTAAGACCGGCAAGCACGGTCATGCCAAGGTCCACTTAGTAGGTATCGACATATTCACCTCCAAGAAATATGAGGATATTTGTCCTTCCACACACAACATGGATGTACCATTTGTTAAGCGGGAAGATTATCAGGTAAGATTTTTTTTTTATTAAATAGAATATTAAGTAATATATTAAATGATTTAATTTTTATTTTTTTATACTTTTAATCTACCCACTTTTTAGACAATTAATTAATTACTTAAGTGATAAATAAAAATGTTTTATTAAATAAAAAAATGGTTTCTATGGAAAACGATTAAATTAATATAACAATTGTGTATTTAGAGTTTTCTTGAAATGTTGAATTCAAATCTTCAATGGAAATTCTAAATTGTAAATTTAGTGTAGCAATTTTTGAAAATTTGTATATATTGATTCTTTTTAGGAAGTTTTGAGAATCTTTAATTAAAATTTTAAGATATAAATTGTATAAATTAAAATTGCAAAATACATTTTAATTGTGCTTTATAGAAAAATTAATATTTTTCTGCAAACTTTAATGTCAGATTTAAATTGGAAAATAAATTTGATAAGAATCAAATAATATTTTTAATTTACATCTGCTATATTGCTATCTGCTATATTGCTATCTGCTATCTGCTATATTGTTTGTCATATTGAATTAAAATAACTAAAGATTTGAATTATATAGATGTTTTATGATAATTTTATATTAAAAAATTTTTATATAACATAAAATTTTTTTAAATAACATATATATAGTCCTTTATATTCGAGGGATTAATAAAATTTTTAAATTTTTTTTACATTTCAAGTTTATAGCTATATTTTAACATTACATAACATGTAATTTTCACGATTTAAACTTTACAAGCAGTACATAAGAATTGGTGTTTAAACTGTGTAACTACTTTAATATTTAACTCATCTGTACAAGTGGAATTTGTTTTTACACACACATAAACCATTTATATTTGCAATTATGACAGTTGACAGATATTTCTGACGATGGCTATCTCTGCTTGATGGCTGATAATGGAGAACTGCGCGAAGATCTCAAGATACCTGATGGTGATTTGGGAACACAATTACGTGCTGACTTTGAGTCTGGCAAAGAATTACTTGTAAGTATATCTTTATATACCGTATATGTATAAATTATTTGTGTCTTTGATGTTCTCGTATATAATTTTGTTTGAAATTTAGTAGCTAATATTATAAAACAGTATGATGATTACATAGAACTGTACAACAGACATGAGTAGACAGTGTTGTCTCGCTTAAAAAATATTTACAAGATATGAATTTCTAATTGTTAAAGAATAACTTAATTTAAAAATGTGATTATGTAATATGTTATTAATAAATTAATAAGTCTAAGTAAATTGTATGAGTCAACTCAAAATAATGAACACAGACAAATGAAATCATATTTTCTTTATTTTATTTGCTTTATTTATTTATTTTGCATTGGTTCATATATTTTTTGCTTAGATGTATTGATATATATATTTTTTTTTGTTTTGTTTTATTATTTATAATTTCATTACTAAGACATTTTTCAACATAAACATCTGTATAATGTTTCATTTAAATGCACTGGAAAAAGTTATCTATTGAAAATATTATCAAATATAATCTGTTAGATTGAAAGTGGAATTATTTGTGAAAATCATTTTCTGTATGACAGATAAAGCTTTGGTTCAATTCGATAACTTTTAAAAATTATTTTGCTATCTTCTCATTAAAAGTTAAAAGATGCTGTATTTTGGCTTGCCAATTATTGTTTTATAGAATGTTATTGATTGCAAAATATTTTCTTAATTTTAACACTATTTTATTTGTTATTTTATGATGCTTGATCGCTCAAATGCTTAAATAATAGTAGAAAAAAGAAAAGTATCGATTTAGTGACGAATGTACTAAAAAAAATGTAAATTTAAAAAATATTTTTTTTGTTATCTATATATTTCAGCAAACACACACAAAATAATGAATTACTTAAATAAAAATGGTTTCTGTACCTTAATTAAAAACTTTACACTCTGCATGTATAATTTTATATTGTATTTTTTTTTCAGTGCACTGTACTCAAGGCATGCGGTGAAGAGGTAGTAATTGCCGTTAAAAACAACACCTCCCTCGACAAATAATTGTGTTCAGCCTGACGATTACGACGACAGAAAGCCCAATACACATTCGAGCAGATACCACCCGCTTAGCCAATCAATCAACACCTTTATTAATGGTCAACCAGGATAAACAACATAAAAATTTAGAGGAAGATGATGAAGAGAGTGAAAGAGCGAGAGAAAGAGAGAGCGAGAGAGAAAGAATGTCTGAGAGAGAGAGAGAGAAAAAATAAAACGGGGCTAGCAGTTCCAATGTAACAACAGCAACGCGCCAATGCGAAAAGCGACTTTTAATCGAAGTAAACATCTACTTACTTATTATTCAAGAATATTTAAATAAACCGGAAGAAAAGCTGGGTATACATTCACTCAGTTACAATCACTATCACACGTACACATACAGATAAATAGCATACTTATATGCATATACACACACTACATCCACACGTGACATATTTACAGAGACAACTATCCACACATTCACACATGCGTTGTTTGTTATACAAGAAAGTGGCAACAACTTTTCAACAGAAAGTTGATTGAGAAAAATAAAAACTAAGAAAGCCTTGACAACACACATCCTGGATTTTTTTTAAAGAATAGAGAGAGAGAAAAATTATTTACAACAGCTTTGTAACTTATTACACTTATGTGCGTAAATGAGAAAATGAGAGTGAGCGAGTGAGCAAGTGAGCAAGAGAGAGAGAGAAAGAGAGAGAGAGCGAGAGCGAGAACGAGAATTTTATTGAAGACCAATATGAAATGGTCGTGGAAAAAGGATTGCAAGTCCTTAACGCGTGCGCGCGGAACAATTTTTCAATGGGATGCTAGCGATGCCCGACACACACAAAGCAGCTCACTTCAAGCATCTTTCTTGTAATAATGGGATTCATAACGATTAGAAAAGACTGGAGTTTTACTATACAGGATTTCTACAGAATACTAAAGGATTTTTTTCTCCTTTTGCAGAAAGAACTCGAATTTTCGAGATTTTTAGGTCTAATGTAATTGCACAGAAGTCGAAATTTAAAGACTTTAATTTCCAAAAAAGATAAAGATAATAGCAATTATCTTTATCTTTAGATTTTATCTTTTTTGGAAATTAAAGTGAAATTCAGCAGAATTCTTAGATTTCAAAATTGTCGAATTTTTGTAATATTTTAAAAGCTTCAAATTTTTTAAAAACTGGAACTTGAAAATTACAATATTTGTCTTAAGAAATTATTATATTTAAATTATATTTAAAAACATACAAAGATTATCCTATCTAAGAATATAAAAATCTAAAAATTATTTCAGTTTTCAAAAGTTAATTTTGACGGTTTTGAATTGTTGAAATTCTCTGAAAGAAGAAGAAATTAGAAATTTTTAGATTTTTTTTTACATAATGTAAAATTCTTAAATTCTTCTTGAATTTCTTCTCTGAAAGAAGAATTTCAACAATTCAAAACCGTCAAAATTAACTTTTGAAAACTGAAATAATTTTTAGATTTTTATATTCTTAGATAGGATAATCTTTGTATGTTTTTAAATATAATTTAAATATAATAATTTCTTAAGACAAATATTGTAATTTTCAAATTCAGTTTTTAAAAAATTTGTATGTTCTTAAATATCAATTTTTGAAATATTTGAAGCTTCAAATATTTAAAAATTTGCAAGAATTTGAAATCTACGAATTCAATATTCTAATCCCCAAAGAACTTAAACGTCAGAAAGTCCAACGAATCTAAGAACTCGATATTCATGACTTCAAAAAATTAATGGATTTTGAAATCGGGAGACTAACAAATCCTTAAAGGATTTTAGAATGTAAGAACTTTGTTATTATAAGGATAAAAAAGGGTCTCTAAAAAGTAACATTTATAATTTGAAATATAAAGATATAAAAACCGATTAAAATTCAAAAAATTACAGTATCCAAGAAGGATATTAGAGTGCAAGGATGCTTGACGACATAGACCTTTAAATCCAAAAACATCGAGCTCTTAAGCATCGCCCAAGATATTTTGCGCATTTTGAGATGGCCGGTGCGGCGTGATGCCGGCGTGTCATATTCAGAGACTGTAATTGGCTTATGAATGCTCACTTTATTACACATTTCGTTGTAATATCTCGTTTTAATAAACATTTTTCAGAACAGGTTAAACAAGCCGCCTTCAATCAACAAGTTAACTTTTAATTAGACGATGTAAACGTTAGAGCAGAAATTATAATTAGTGTAAAGAAATGAAGGCGAATGGAAGATCCTTGTGTGAACTTGCAAATGTATGTGAAGAATCTTTCCCCTGCATCCTTTCCATTTCGTGTCATCGTTTGTATAAAAAAAAATTGTTCCGGAAGTGCAGTCTGAATAATTAGGAATAATTATAAACAAATAATTAACTGTAAAGATGTAATCACAGTTATCATTGGAAGGTATACATTTTTTTCTCATGGAACCGGTGACTTTGAATTTGCTGGCATGGTGTCCTCGCGATATTAGCATTCCGTTTTTTTTTCCTGCAGAATTCCTTGTCTAATATTCAAAATTTTTACAAAATTTTGAAACATTCAGATTGCTTGCAACTTGCTGCGAGAATTTATGCATCCGCGAACCTCATTAAGATTATCGTCCCATATATGTTCCTAGCAATTAAATGTCCTTTAACAAAGTTCCTTTATTTAACAAATAAATACGAAATCCCGAAATTTTACATGTGTGTGCGTGTGTGCGCGCGCGTGTGTGTATCTATATGTAAGTTCCGATACGTCTAATAATTATCCTTGCACTTATTCTGAAAAGGTATATCTTACAGAGGATCCTGTTTTTAAAACCTTTAGCAAATAAAAGAGGACCCGAAATAGCGCGCCTTCCTTGATGACTCTGATTTTTTGCAACGTCATTAAAATCGAAAAAAAAACCCATCCATTATAATCTAAATAAACAGAATATCGACTAATTAATTAATTAATATGAGAAATAAATCAACGTCTGTAATCTATGTGTGCTACGTTGGACCAGGCTCATAATTCTTTCGATTGTTAATAATAACCGAGAGAAAAACAGCATTAATACAAACAAAAAAAAGAAAATAGTATAGATAGTAGAAAAAATATTCACAGGAGCGACATGGTAACGTCTTTTTTAGTCCTTTCTTAGACTGACTCGTCCACACACTGCCATCATACGAAATTTGCAAAGTGTTAAATTATGTCATTAAGTTAATTCATGTAATAGTAGAATTACGAAAGGAATATAAGTTACGAGTAACAATCGGTGATGTAATTCAAGGCACTAACACAAAAACCGCTTTTCTTTTCTTTACGTACTTATAAATTCTGCCCGCAGTATTTTTGCGTGTCTCTTCATTATGAGAAACAATCTAAGCGCCCATATATTCTAGAATATGCGAGATTCTCGATATGTATGGTTGCGCAGTCGTTCACGAGAGTTCATAGATTTACAGTACCAAGAATCTTTGATACATCTCACACAGCCAGACACAGACACACACACGCATACACACACACACCACGCACACACACACGATGTGTGAAGGGATCCAAGGATAATGGGAGTAAAAGAAAAATTCGTGACAACCATCAGTTTTCCGAGATACAAGATTCATGGTACTGGCAATCTTTATCATCATAATAATTTATTACAGTTCAAAGATCTGTAGTATCAAAGATCCAAATATGCCAGGACATCCTGTAACGCCATGTATGTATGAGAAACTCTGGTAATAAAGGTATCAATCTATGGCTTCAAGGATCCATGGTACGGACAGATTTTTATACTTAATGAAATTTAATATAAACAAATAAAATTTAATCTGAAAACTTTTATTTGCGCACTATATATGGATTCATTATTATAACAAATGCAACCGTTTCTTTTGGACTCTTAAGTAAATAAATCGTTTTATACTGTCCCTTAGAGAATTAACTGTACTCTTCAAATTTCATTTTAAATAGTATAAACAGGATATATTCTTCGATATATCCAGACGGTACAAAAATCTTCAAAATCGGTCGCTTCCTCGTATTTAAAGAATTTATTGTTGCGTTTAAATACGAATAATTATAAATGAATAGAATTTATAATTTCTATATGTGATTTTCACAACAAGTTTTTCTCATTTACAAAGTAAATGATGAATTTCTTGTTACAACTGCGATGCGATATTTCTCTTACAACTTCATATTAACAGTTTTATACCGTTTAATTACGCGCTTAATCACGCGCTTTTAAATTTAATCCTAAACAGTACAAGTTGAATATACATTAATATTTCTCGAAAATGTTACGGACTTGTTACCATTCTTTCCGTATTTGTCAAACTTAATACAAACTAAAAGGAAGAATTGATTGTTAAATGTGTGTTTTCGAGGTTCTTTTACATAGTAAAGGCTATAATAAAGGTTAGGCTATAACTGACTGATTATAACTGCCATTTTTTTTACATCGTTTTCTTTTATCTAATTTATCGTTCTAAAACGCGTTGCACCTTTCTCACATATTTACAATAAACTCTATTTTATTTCAAATTAAACAAAGTATTTCATACTGTTTAGGTTTAATCAACGCGTCCACGATCAATTCTCTCTCTAGGCAACAAAGCGCGATAATAAGTGTCATACACAGTTCCATAACTTAGACTGACCACAACAATTCCAAGGATTTTATGAGTTTTGTGGATACGGTTTGACCTTCCAAGCAGATTTTAAGACTCTTGGGTAGAAACCCGAAAACTGTAGCAAAAAATTCAGAATTTCTAAGAATCTGAAGATTCCATAAATTCCAAAAATATAAAGAGACGTCTGTAAAAATCGAAAGATCCCAAGTAAGATCGAAGGATCATCAAAAATACAATAAAATCTATTCGTAATCATAATTTAAGCTTTCCTGCTGCTCGCAAGATCAATTGTTAGCATTTCGCCTCTGCAGCGCAGCTGCAAGATCCTGCCTGAGCGCAGCTTGCTGTCTCTGATCAGCCAAGGATTGTACCGATCGCAATCCGTTCACAATATCCTTTGTTTTACCGAAGTAAATCTCATTTAGCGTGTTGCGTATCTTGTTTTCCATATCTTCGACCATTCTGCCAATATTCGCGATATGAGGAGACGTTTCGCTAATCTGAGCGTCTTGTTCCACCTGCAATTATGAATGTGTGCATACAAAGTGTGCTGGTTTTAAATCGTCTATTTCGATGTGAACATCAAGTAAACGAATGAAGATCAGCTTAAGAAATGTATAAGAATTTTTACTGAAAATATCGCTAAATTTAAAATGTGACAAAGTTAAAAATATTGTAATTTAAAAAAAATTGTAATCCATCGATCTTTAAGTAATCTGATATATCAATCAATTTAAATTTGTAGACTTTATATTCAAATTTTTAGCGATTTTAAAAATACTTAATATAGTGAGTACAAATTATGAATATTTACTTTTGTATAGAATTTACAAAAAACTTACCTGACGCGTCAGACTGCCACCCAAATTCATTGTACCAGAACCATGCTTATTGGTTTGCAGCCAGAGCATAGCTGTCGATGTGAGCTTATAGTGAGCAGTACGGCCAGTTGATTTCTCCTGCACTTCCACCACATGTATCGAGTCCCAGCATCCTTTAATCTTCTTGGAACCATCGCCGGCCTTCTTGATGAGTATCACCGCTGCAAACCCATGATCCAAGTCCCACAAGTACACCGAAGAAACTCCACCTTCGAAATAAAGCTCTCGATATTGATCGAAAGCATGGTTGGCATCTATTTCCAGTTTTCTCAGGCGTTCAGAAGGCATGGAGCCATCCTCCAGTGGTGGATCGTAAGTATTGCTCCAAGGAGATCTTTAAAACATTACATTTGCATAAAAACTATTTTTTTTTATCGTTATACAACTTGGAATGTCCATTTAAAAATAAGCAAACCTATAGGAGTCTCCATCTCTATTGTAATCACATAAGAGATAATCCTTGCCAGATTCCTTATCCTTGGCTATCTTTAATGGTTGATCTACCGAGGATAGTAGATCCTCGCATAAAGAAGGAACCAGGTCAATCAAGTCGCTAAGATTTTTCTCAATTTGCTGCGGCGGTAATCTCCGCATCAAATCTAATGCACAATCCATTTGCTGTTCCGTCTAAAATAAATAATATATAATTATGTAAGGGAAAAAAAATGCGGTAGAGAAATAGAAACAGAATGTATGATTCACATAATTATTAATATTGCTAATTATTGCATTTTTATTAAAATATACCAAGATTTCGACATATCCAATCAAATGAATCGAGTAGTGATAGCAATGAGGAAAAAAAGTTGACAATGATAAATTAAGAAAATAAGACCGTTATAAAAAAATGTTAATAACTGCTAGAGTTATTCATTCACAGGTGTGCACGACAAAAGCAGACAAGCAAGGACTAAACATCTCACCATTGTGCCGTGATGTAAATTGGTTATAGGCCGACAAACATCAAAATCTTGTTGGCCGATGTCGACGTAAATATAAAACGTGTCCTAGTCACTACCTCGCTGGGATTTTCTCGAAAATAAACGAGACGAGCATTTAAAGGGTGTGTCGTAATGCAAACAACGATTAGCCCGTCGCACTCCTCACTGGCCGTCACCACGGAAAGGAGTAAGGTTAACTGTTTGCGTCGCAGGCTAGCCAAATTAACACCCAATAAGTTGACATTGCCGCATGAACGGATTGGCTGGTTACGGAGAAAGCTTCTAGATAGTGTGAACAAGTCTTCACACATAGCAGTTTTTGTTGGTAAGAATAATTTTATAGAGTTTTTTTATTTATTTAAGTCAAAAATAACTTGTAGCATTTCGGACTAAATTTATTTTCTAGGAATTTAATTTAATGCCATCTTGGAAAACTTATTAGGCGTCAAATGTCGTACATTGAATGATAAATGCAGTGTATATTTTGCATATGACGTATTAGTTGATTTTTCTGTGCATACGATTTATACAGCCATGCATTCTACGTGAATAAACCTTCATGCATTATATCTCATTCTTCTATTTGACATAACGTTTCCTACAAAGAGCCTGTTAGAGGGAGAATCTGTTTTTTTCACACCCATCGTGAATCGGAGCACTTTTATAATAAGCACATATGATCTCATCTGATTCGGTTTTCCTTCATTTAATTCTAGAAATATACCACTCGACATGGAGCTTTTGGTCTTATCGGATCGTTGAAAGTAAACTTGGATACTGTGGCACCAATGTAATGTATGAAATGTACGTATATATAAAGTTAGTATTAAATTCGGTAAAATATTTGGATACATTGCCTTTTCAATGATGGCGAATATGCGCGAATCTGCGCAAGTAATCCCGCAGTGATGATAGTGGTTGTACGTTTCATCGCGGGTAATCGTAGGTGACAGCGAGTTCACGCGGGCAAATTCAGCTTCTTCTCGCGTCATATTCATGACTCTTGAATCTTCGTAAAAACGAAACGAGAATGGGTGTTGGCCTTAAACCGTTGGAATTTACGGATTGTTTAACCGACAGTCCGTACTTCCGTGAAAATCTGCATTATCACGAACGTGAATTGGAGAAGACCAGTCAGCAGATTAAACGGCTCGTTAAAGAGGTCAAAGATTTACTATTGGCTGCAAAAAGTAAGTTCTACCGGAATATTACATTTTTATCTGTAAAAAGATATAAATGTTGTAACAGCACATATTTATCTTCATTTTTGATTATCAATTTAGAAAGTACAGTATTCTTCAACGATAAAGTATTTAATTATATTATTTTGCTCATTTTGTTATTTTCTACTGAAAAGATGTGAAAAAGACCATATTGTAAAAGATAACATATGTCTTCTTAATGGCACAAGACCTAGTCTTTTAATATGTTAGTTAAGTACTCTAATATATTAGTTAAATTTATTAATAATATAAATATCTTTTTATAGATTTGTCCAGAGCACAGAGAGCCTTTTCCAAAACATTACAAAACTTTAGCTTTGAGTGTATCGGTGAGAGCCAAACTGAGGATGAAACTCACATATCTCAAAGTCTGAAAGAATTTGGTAAACTTATCGCATCTATAGAGGATGAAAGGGATCGCATGGTATGAAATATATATATATATATATATTTATTAATAAAATTTGATATTTTGCTTGTAACTTGTGATATATTATTTTCAAATATAAACTCTATAGTAACTTTTGTTATAAAAACTATTACTAAATAACTTCTTCCAGTTGGAACGAGCATATGATCAAATTATACTACCCTTGGAAAATTTTAGAAAGGAACATATTGGAGGAGTTAAGGTAAGATTTTTTTCTCCTTTTTTCTGTTTTTTGGCTTTATTTCAAATATGTTTATTGAATAATTTCAATTTTAATCATCTCACATATGCTTCTGCTTTTCAGGATGGTAAAAAGAAATTTGAGAAACAAACAATTAAATTTTGTCAAAGTCAAGAACGTTACTTGAATTTATCTACTAAGAAACAAGACAATGTATTGCAAGAGGTATGATCTAACGATGTATAAAACTAGAAAATTTTGTATATTATTGAATAGTTGACATATTGTATGTGCATGTTTATACATAGGCTGATGCGACATTGGAGATGGCTGAAAGACACTTTTCTCAAGCTAGCTTAGAATATGTATTTTTATTGCAAGAGGTTCAAGAGCGGAAAAAGTTTGAGTTTGTCGAAACGGTAATAGTGAATAGTTTAATTAATTTTTATCATTATACACGTAGGTTAAACATGAGTGCATATAAAATCATGGTAATGATAAATCAGTACAATTAGTAATATGAAATGTTTTAGTTATTGGGATTCATGTTTGGATGGCTGACATTCTATCATCAAGGTCACGAGGTTGCGAAAGACTTTAAACCTTATATGACAGAGCTACAATTAAAAATTCAGAAGGTTGGTATAATTAATCTTTTTCCATCTTTTTAATTGCTTAAATACGTTTGAATAATATTGAAGAAAATATTTTATTCAGCCCATATCTTTATTTCAAGTTAATATATTGCTACGAAAGATAATATTATTGTAGAATTTTTTTACGTATTATCACTGTGTGTTTATATGCAAGAGAATCTTATCAAACATCACTAACATGTATGTTTGTATTCTATTTTATTGTTAGTATTTCTGAGTACTTCTAATATCACTGAGATTTTTTCATTTCTCACTTGATCTAGCCAATGTTGCACGAAATAATTTAACAGCTTACGTATTTGCAAAAAGAGCGCGCATACAGTCGCTAGTAAAACAAGTTTGACTTATGTACAATTGCATTGTGTACATTGAAATGGTGTAAAATAATTGAGTACTAAACATAGAGTGCTAAAATATACTAAACACACACATTCAATAACTTTCTCTCTTTCTCTCTCAATTTCTGAGTTACGGAATCGGTGCTGCTCGAGAGTTGTAGATAAATTATATTTATTAAGTATCGAATGTGTAACCTTTTTTCAATTAAATTATCGTGTGATATAAATATATTTGATAACAGCATGGATAAGAGCTTACTAATTGCGATTTTTATTTGTGTGTGTGCGTGTGTTTCGCAAGACTAGAGAGAATTTCCTTGCTACCCGGGATAAAACTGAATCACTCATGAATAAAATGAAGGACATGAAAAAGGTACGTTTTATAAGAATTTTTGTTTTTTTTTCCCTTAATTTTTCGCGAATTTTTACAAAACAATATGGCTTATTGCTATTGTATGAAGTATACCTTTTATTCAGCCATTATCTTTTTTTGTAGTCCGCAGTAGAAAGTGGTCTCAACAAATTACACTCCCGCGAAGGCTATCTATTCTTAATGGAGAAAAGTAAGTTTTAGTGTAAAAAAGGTATTTTGTAGAAATTGATTTTTTCGATAACTCGAATGTAAATTAATCCATTATGTTACATATTATATAGAAATAAATATAGCTTGCCGTACATAGTATTAACAACACATGATTATTTGCAGAGGCATTTGGTACAACATGGACAAAACAATATTGCACATATCAAAAAGATAAAAAAGAATTTACTATGATCCCTTACAATCAGCTGACGGGAAAATTTGTAAGCAAAAACAGAAAACTAATTAAGCATTATACGTTAATATGTCACAGAGATTTTTGCAATAATTTCCAATTTTGAATATATAATATTATTTTAATATAATAGAAATCATTTTTATTTTTTTCAATAGAGCAGCAAGGAGACCCTCACCCTAGCGTCTTGCATACGACGAACATCGGATACTATTGAAAAAAGATTTTGCTTTGACATCACAGCCATCGATAAGTAAGTTTAATACGATTTTGCATTGTATCGCGCATACAATCGAAGCATATAAATTCCCTTTTAAATCTAACTTATTTTTTCTATTCCAGACCTAATGTAACATATACATTCCAAGCACTTTCCGAGGAAGATAGAAAATTATGGATGGACGCTATGGATGGGAAGGAACCTGTAAGTATTTTAATGCAAATCAATGATAAATGCAAAATTTGAACAGTCATCTTTATTACTAGTATTAGTTTTTTTACGGGTGGAATTGCGCGTAACCGTTGAATATCTTGCAGACTTGTCCACGATTAGGTTGTTCTGCAAAATCTGAAGAAACAACGTTGGACGAAACTGGTTTTACTTTTGTATCCAAGTGTATTGCAGCACTCGAAGATAGAGGTAATGAAATTTTAACTTTGTGATTTTCCTTCGTGATTTTACTCTGATTACTTAATATTCGAATTAATCAAATTTATCGACTTGACAGGACTTGAAGAACAAGGTTTATACAGAGTAGTCGGTGTTGCTTCCAAAGTAAACAAACTCCTGTCTATGGGACTTGATAAGAGGAAAACAGACAAGCTCAATTTAAACGATCGTTTCGAATGGGAGAGTAAAACTATCACTAGTGCGCTCAAGACTTACTTGAGAACTTTGTCTGAGCCATTAATGACCTTCCGATATTACAACAGCTTCATTACAGCTGCGAGTGCGTATAGGTATTCTTGATAATATGTTGTCTTATTTTTGCTATTACAACCACTCGGAGATTAAAGAGGCTCCGTGCGGCAATGTCTGTTCTCTGTTGCTTTTTGTTTCTTCTCTCCACCGATCTCAGTTTTATCGAGAGGCAAACTACTGAGGAAATTATGGTATACAAATTTAGGATAAATAGATGAGACGCATGATTAGTAATTTAGAAATTCAATTTTTGATAAATAATACACAATTTACATCAGCAGTTTACCTCTTGTCTTTATGGTACTTTTTGTGAATAATTGTAAAAAGAGCTAAAGTTTTATCTTGATTTTTGGCGTCTAACAGAACAGGAGATGAAAGAAACTCGGATAAATGATATACACATCCTCATTTATAGACTGCCTAAAGCAAACTTCAACATGTTAATCCTTCTTATTACTCATCTTTCCACGTAAGACATACAATTATTATTCATATATCGAATTTAGCACTCTTTATGTGTCTAGGGTTATTTATTTCGACTAAGAGTCGATCTCTTACGTTATATCATATTTGTTTGATATTTAAATAAAATAAAATTTTAGTGTGGCAAAGAAAAGTGATAAAAATCTGATGACCGTGGGGAATTTAGCAGTATGTTTCGGTCCGACTCTGCTACGACCGGAGGAGGAAACGGTAGCCTCTATAATGGACATTAAGTTTTACAATATCGTTGTGGAAATATTGATTGAGAATTGCGAAAGAATAATAGCTGGACCACCTCAAGATTCTTTGCGCGCACTACCAGCGCAATCGGCGTTGCCAGCCGCTGTCCTCCCAAGTAAATCACAATGCGTGAATGTGGAAAACGGTCCAGCTTCCTCCGGTAATGGAACAGCATATTTAAGATATCCATTACACAATACGGTAACAGTTGCACCTACGTCGTCACACGCGCACGTGAGTTTTAATCATTTAACATGACTTATCGTTCAGTCGTTTATTTTTTAAAAGTGTTAACGATACGTTATATATGTTGCAGCTTGTTACAAGATCCTATTACGATGGTCAGCCTATAGGAGTCATTAATAAATCGTCTATCGTCGATGAAAGGAATAACGGAGATTACGATGATCTCGAAAGTACGAGTCATCGTATACCATCGTATCTCGACAGTCGTAGCAGTTGTGTCGGTAGCGGCGGCCGTATGAAATTGACTAATGCCAACCTCATGTATCATTCAGCCGACAAAGGTTTCACAAATCTTTTTCTCTCCTATGTTATTCCGCAACAGGGTGAAAATTCCTGTAAACAAAAATTCTGTTTTTCTATCACAGTTCTGAGCGGCGGTAATACGAGCAGTTCTAGCGAATCGATCGCATCGGATCCTCATCCATTTACGAGTGAGTTACCGATAAAACAAAAACGTGGTGCCATGATATCCGTGCATTATCCCACGGCTTATCCACAACGTAGTAACTCGTCATCGATATGCCCGTAAGTAATGCCCAACTTTTTCGTTAACGAACAATGTTGATTTAATCCCAGCATTTCTCAGCGTGTATACTTTATCTCCAAGTGTTATTTTTTCTTGATTATAATTTTATACGTGTCATACAGAATTAACACTTCACCCAGTAGTGGACGTTCGAGTCCCGGTCAAGTGCCAGGTATTTGGTAAGTATTTTATGAACGTAATGTTCAGCTGTTGAGACTTACAGTTTGCATTTTCAGGAGAGTACGAACTTTGTATGCGTGTATGGCGGAAAATGATGGTGAACTATCGTTTGAACCAAATCAAATTATCACTAATGGTAAGCTGTGGAGAATATTAATTTTTACACAAAAGAATCTAACAAAATATATTATTGCAGTTAAGGCCTCTTTGGAGCCGGGTTGGCTGGAAGGCACGTTGAATGGTAAAACAGGCTTAGTGCCGAAAAATTATGTCGAGCAGTTGCCCTAAGTATTAAACAAGAAAACCAAAAAGAGTCTAAGAAAAGGCATTGCCATTATTACGAAACATATTTTTAAGATATCATGTAAGAAAAATTTATAAAAGCTAGGCAGCATGACAAACACTCGTGTTGTGAGCTTTTGTACTATTTCCTTTGGCTACACACTGCTTAGTCAATTATATATATATTCATATTCATATACAAGCGTTATTTATTAGAAGCCATATTTTGCTCTATATATTTAAACTGTATATATAATCACTTGGTTAAGAAGAGTGATATATATGTGCATATATATTAAGGACTATATAGAATTAATATATCTGACGTATTTGAGTACACATTTATACTAACAAATATTCCCAATATTCAGAGATTCCATGGAGCTTGTAGATTTTAAAAGCAATAACCATTTATTTATATCATTGTATTATAATATAATAAAATATACAATGCGATATTGAATACCAAATATTATCAAAAGTTTCACAAGCATATTACGCGTGTATAGTAAATGCTTATTCAATGTCGTATTTTAGCATCAATATAGAAATATGAAGCGCAATTTGTATTAATAAACCAAACGCGATGGCGTTTGAAAAGCTAAATTTGAAGATTAAATAAAGCTTCAATTTTATAACTAGGATCGAAGCACATATATGCATGAATATTTAAATAGATATATATTTTACTGTAATATCGTTGATTCATGTTGAATGATATGCATATAATTGGTCGATCAGTTCATACTATTTTTTTGTAATACTCAATTGTTTGTTTTGAAATAATATCTATCCGTTTTGAATCATCACAGTTTGTCATCAATAATGAGAAAACTTAAAACATACATCTACCAATTATTAATTATCGGTGTCGTGGTTTTATAACTTAGATCCTAATATTTAGTTTTGAATGTCCAACTATTAATCCTGAATTTTATTTAACAAAATTATATATTATTAAAGTATACGATATAAATGCAAACTTGAAAGGAACATCTTTTTTTCAATGTTTGACATGTTGCAAAACATTGTATTGAAGAATATGTAAATAACTGTTCTTTTTTAATTAACTTAATAAATTTTTTTTGTTTTAGTTTAATCCACATATTTTTAATTCTTAGGAACATCTGCACTATTGTAAAAATTTGATGTTCAGCTTCGACATTGATCGTTATTCAACTGTTTCATGTAAATTTCTATGCCTGAACATCCCGCTTTTAAAGCGTTTTTCTCTATACAAATCCATATTGAGCTCATAAATAGAGTGTAACATAATATCGCAGTTAAAAGGATACGTACTATATTTAAACCGATGTCTATACCTAGCGAGGTATTCGTGCAATTTAATCCAATAGACCAAATTAATGGAATAAGTAGTATACAACCAGACAACAGATACCAAAAGCGTTGACGCTGGACGCTTCTTAAGGCAGTTTCGCAAATTCCAATCGCTTCTTTCAAAGAATCTGTCACATCTAGATCGTTCACGCTGTGTTTACCTGCAAACAGACGTGTAAATTAAAACTAATGACTAAAAAAAAAAAAAAATATGTGCGAAACCTTTAAACATATAACTTACCTTCGGTGAACTTGAGTGTCGCCGTAACAGCCTCATGATCTGAATAACTAAAGGTTTTAAACGGCACGCGATTTGGCAAAGGGTGATCAAAATTTGTAATGTCAATCTGGAAATTATGCATTTAATGTATTGGACGCGTGACACTACATTGAAAAAATTGATTTAAAAAATATTTTTTTATATATTAAATGTATTTAATTACGTTAACAAACTTTTATGTTCCAGTATGTGACAAATATCATCAGCGTAAAACTCTTACCTTAATATTTTCTGAGCTTAGGTACAAAATATGATCTATTCGCTGGCCATCTGGTCTCGTTCGAGCAAGCTTTGAGCTAGTGTAACTATTATTGGCACATTCATTGGTCCCTTTATGACTAGCACTGTTCGGACATGCATCTGTTAAACCAGCTACACCACATATAATCCTGTATGCCAAATCCTGTGGTTCGGTATTAAGGTCGCCAGCTAATATCGCAGCATCCGTACCACCACTTGTCATTCTTACAAATTGAGCAGTGTCAAACGCCTGTAGCACTCTATGAGCCATATATTCGTCATTCTCTCTGTTATACTCTGCATGTAACTGCAAGGTAAAAACAACAAATAATATTTTATTTATTTCTTTAGATTCTATCCTTTAAAAATTACTACAATTTTTGTTATTATATATATTACATCTATCTATTGGGTTGTTTGAAAAGTTTTCTAGCTCTGTTTGTAAAAATGTACTTTTGAAAATCTAAAAAACTTTGCACAATCCAATATATCACGCAAATGGATAACATTGAGTGCGTAATTAAGTATCATCAAAGAATAATAACGAAAAAGTGTCCCTTCTTGACAAAAATTGAAGTAATATATATATATAATAAAAAAAAAGTGCATTAGACAAACGTACATGTGCAATATAAACATTAATATTCATATTGCGAACTTTAATTTTACAAAGTCCGACACCTTTACCACCAAACCAGTCTCCATGGTGTATCTTGTGGACGTAACCGTTCAAGGGCCACTTGTGGAACATAGCACCATGAATAGGATACCATGACAAGATACATATACCTGATCCAACGACACCACTTCAACAAAAATGTAAGATATTTTTGTAGTAAATCCCACAGTTAAATGCACTAGTGCATATTAAAATATTGTACATAAATTGATTTAACATACCTATGGTAAGTAGGCTATATCTGAGAGGTGTTTAATATAATTTTTACTAGAATTGTATTTAATAAAATATGTTAGACATTTTTTTGTTATATTTTTATAATTAAAAATAAATTTAATGTACAAAGGTTTTAATCTGCACTAGTACATACTAATGTATCTAAAATAAATTCATATAAATAATTACAATTATCCAAATGTTTATGCTTTACCTATAAAAGTAATGCGAGTAGGGCAATACTTCCTGTGTTTTTGCCTTTATTGCCTTAAAATCATCGACAGACCAGACTTCTTGCAAACAAATTATATCATATTCTCTGCTGGCACATTTCTCCGCAATAGCAGATATACGTATGTTTCTGTTTTTTGAAATATATGGTATGCCCCTAAATGTATGAAAAGAAATGTCAATTAAAGATTATTAGTAGATGTGAATTTTGTAAAATATAGTTAGAAATTCTATTCAGCATTTCCTCACCAACAGTTCAATGTTAGGATACTCAAAGTTTCGTTTGTCATCGTTCCTGTATCGAGTGCACACCGTCCCTGTCAATTATGAACGAATATTAAGACTTCAACACAATAAATACAAACTCTAGAATAACATATTGTGGTTTGTTCCGACAATTTCATGTTTTTTTTGTAGCGAACAATGTGTAGATAATGCTAGGAGAAAAAAACAGTACAAAGACTTTTATTTCTCCAATATCTTCATGTCTTTCTTCCAGTTATCAGTAAATAGATTGGTAAGTCTTAACAGATTGATAAGTTCTAATCAATACAGATGTACGTGCGCGCCCGCACAAATACATTTTTGAACATTTCCTTTTTGTTAAAAAGTTAAGAATATACCAGGAAATGTGCAAACTCTCGTGTTTTCCAGGGGTTACCTCTGGATTAGTTCGCCGAGATCAGAATTCCATGTCCAGACGGCAGCACTACGTCTTTCACCACCATGTCATATGCATCTTGCTAACAGTTACTGAATAGTTGTCAAGGGCTAAATAATTGTGGTGAATATTTGTTGATTGTATTATTTGTATAAAATATTACACAGTTGTTGCGAGATTTAAAAAAATTCGCAATGGTTGAAGAATCGGAGCAGGTAAGTTTGAAGTTTGTATAGATCGTTGTTACATGCTTTCCTCACATAACCTTGCATTTTTTTAAACAGTTGCCGCCGATAGACGTGAAGGAACCCTTAGATCTCATTAAATTAAGTCTGGAGGAGCGAATTTACGTCAAAATGAGGAACGAGAGAGAACTCCGAGGAAAATTACATGTAAATTGTTTTTTTTTATCACTTGGCTTTTTATTTAGCATTTTATATAGAAAGTTTGGAAATCCTACAATAAATATTTGTTTTGTTAAATTTAATTATATTTAAATCAAAATTAAGTAAAATGTAAACAAAACTAATTTATATGAGTTGACGTCATTTTAGGCTTTTGACCAGCATTTGAACATGGTATTGGGAGATGTAGAAGAAATCATAAATATAGTGGAGATCGACGAAGAAACATATGAGGAAATCTATCGCCAAAAAAAGAGGACCATCCAGATGCTATTTGTGCGTGGCGATGGTGTAATATTGGTATCTCCACCCACATAAGCAACTATAATATTCCTACAATTTATTGTAAAGTTACAAATACATTATATATGATCTAAAATGAAATGCTATATTATTAATTTAGAGAGTCGCATTGGTTTTTTCTTAAATTATAAAAATTTTGCTCTGAGAAATAATATATTGAGTTGTTCGCAAAGTTTTCTAATTTTTTTAGGAAAAGTAAAATTGAAAGGATTAGAAAACTGCAAGTAACCCAGTATATGTTTAATACAAAACTTGCTTCCGAACATGATACTAATTACAAAATTTCATAACGCTCTGCGACTCTTTAAAAATTAATGATTCACAGTTTACGAATCGAGAAATCGAGAAAACTCTGAAAGATCGAGAGATATTGCAGATATTGACTACTATGCGACTATTCTATTTCTTAATATATTATAATTACACGTTAGTGTTATATTGTAAGAGGTTTTATAATATTTGATTTGTTTATATTGTACATACTACATAACAAAGTTGTCAGTGTACATTGTAAAGATTCATTGCGACAATTTAGTAGAGGCATGTAGCTTCAAGATTTCGCTACCGATAAGATAAGGACGCGGAGTAGTCACGTTTCGCTCGATTGGTGGTCTTGTAATCTGCACCGTGAGATCCTCGATCCTTTGGTCCTTAAGTTTTATTATACTTTCCAGGTGCAAAATCTTTTGTCGCAGCATGGAGATTGTGTCGTTTTTCTCCTGCAATTCTTGTTTCAGTCGAGCGAAAATGTGCCGCGGAACGGTCTTGCTTGTTATCTCTTCAGGATTTAAAACGGACTTTATTACCTCTGCAAATCGTGTGTAGAATTATTCAGAGTTTTTAATTTCTTACTAATAAGAATCTAAAAGTAGAAAAGAAAGTAGAGAAGAGTCGAAAAATTATTAGTCATAATTAAAATATCTCAACTATTAAGAAATATAAATGCTTTATTACCAAAAATTATTTCTATGAAAAAACAATTTAATTTATGTAAAGTTGTATATTCAAAGTTTTTCAAATCTACAATCACAAAAATCTGAAATTTTGAAATTGTCATTTTGAATAAAGAATAAAAATTATTAGGGGAGTTAATATACCTTTACTATCTTCATGGCCAGAATACAAGGATTCTCTGTCTGCGTTACAATCCCTCAGGACCTTAGCTCTCAGATCACTAAGGATCTTTTCTATGATCCCTGACTGAGAATTCGCCAATTGATGAATCGTGTCTTTTCCCAGTTTCATGTTGATCTTTGACAGCACCTTCCGATTTAGAGTGCACCAATTGTCGATCTTCTTCGCAATGCTGTTTCCGGCGACATAATTATGCACGTCCACATGTTTAGGATAATAATGTTTCAACAGTTCTGCCATCAACACTGAAAACAAGTTTTCATGTTTTTCATTGTTTTATTAATAAATGTTTATTATAATAATCATTTTTCCATTTGATCATTATGATTGCCTTAGAGCTCAATAGTGCTTGAGAAAGTAGGACCACAAAGATAGTAAAGTGTTAACGATGTTATATGTAAATTATTTGCTCTTATAAAGGATCAATGAATTTATTTGAAAAGTAGAATGTCTTTTCTCGTTACCGCCATCGGAAAAGTCCCTGGCTATATTTCGTTTAGGCCTAGAAAACTTGATTTGATCGATCCAGTCGTAGATCTCGTCAAGATGATCACCAGCCTCCGAATTTGCGCTCATGATGACGTTACTATAATGTTTTTGGCGGCTCGCGCACAAACAGGAGTGTAAGGATCATGAAAGAATATAGTATAGAGAAATCCCTGTTGTATATATCAGAAATTTATAAATACGCTCGACATTTTTTCCATCTCACATGTCGCGCGAACTCGTGCAATGTTCGCTCAGCTTCAAATGTTGACTCGAATAAAAAAAATTCCTGCATTCAGCATTGTGAACAAAAGCGAGCTTAAAATAAAATACAATATGACCAAAAAGCAACCGCAACGCTTCGAATATATACAAGCTCTACGGAAATTTAATTGTTTTTTCATAGAAATTATTTTTGGTAACAGAACTTTTCTTTTTGAACAGTTAAGAAATGAGTAAAATAACGATTTTTAATTGAATATTTTCTTGAAAAATGCAAAACGATATAAATGATGCAATTTCATCATACCTTGCTGCCTTTGCGCCGGTCAATGACTAACAATGAGGAAGTACAAGAGCAACGTGCGTTTCATGGAGTCTTTCCTTTTCCCGCATGCGTGCGTACGACGGGTGTTTATAGAAGAGGAGTACACTCCGCATCCCCCGGAGTCGGTCTAAGAACCTTTTTGGTTTTCTCGTCGCTTTCAGTGCTATGCAGCTCCCGTGACAAGTAACAAACGAAGCATCAAGTCGATATAAAGTATTTATTTGAGGAAGAAAAATTGCCTGTTAAGTTTTGTGGAGTTTTGTTACAGAGAGAAATTTTTGAATATCTTGAAAAAGCATCAAAGACACATTTTATTATTACGATGGCTGTGGAAAATAATTCTAATAGTAAGTAATTTTTCTGTTAATTTTCTGGAAGATATTATAAATCGAATCCGCGTGATAGATGTTGCATAATTTTATTTTTAAAAAAGTATTAAGCGCAATTGTCTTCAAAGATGTCTCATGTGACCTTGATTCGTCCTCTATTCGATTTTTCTCAAACGCATGTAATTTTAATTGATTTTCTTATTAATAGATTTCCAATTGATATTTACTACATCACGTATCGCATCACAGGTCGTTCTAATGATGCAATGCTATGCAAGTGCATACAAGTCCTTTTCTTTATCATTGAACATATGGACAATACTTCGATTCGCAAGATTAGATTAAATTCGAATAATGTACATACATATATTTCAATTTAATTGGCAATGGAATATTACGATTATCATTAAAGTACGGAACATTAAAAGAACATTGCATTTAACTCGATAGCTTGTGTACTAAACGCGTGTGCCATAAACATTCTTAAAATAAAATCTTTTAGTTGCATCTTCGAATGAATTGCGATTTCGACTTATGCTACATGTATAAAAAGCGTCTGTGAAATTCTGAAAAATAGTACATTTACGATACAGTGTAGAAAATTTGCTCTCAAAATTCTTCTTTTCATCGTAAAAAATATTCATGCGGATAAAAATATATAAGAGTTCAAACGATCGAGGCTCAATTCGCATGTTATAAATTTGTCATTATACGAGGGAGAATAAAAAAATTAATGGATTTTTTTTTTAAAGAGTTGGATTCTGTAAATGTATATCGTTACTTTTTTACTTACTCTCGCAGTTGAATAAAGATAAAAGTAATAAAATATTGAAAATATAATAATTATGATAAAAATAAATAATTGTCTTTCACCAATATTTTCGTGAAAAAGAACTCTAACTGATGATATTATTATTTATTTTTAGCCACTGGAAAAGATAGAACACTGTTCCCAATTCGATACTTGATGGCTATAATGGGATCTATCGGTCTTGCTATTCTTTATGGCTTTAAAGTCAACACCAGTGTGGCAATCGTCGCTATGGTGAACCATACTGCCGTTAAATTATCCACATTGCATGATTCAGAAGCTAATATTTCGGATTCCGCAATAGTGAGCACGGATGTTTGCCAATTTGATAATGTCTCGAACGTTACAACGACTAAAGGCAAGGTATGACGATGTTTTATATGAACAAAAGATTTACGTATGCAAGATTCTCACATATAAGTAATTCCAGAATAGAAATCTTTAGTAAAAAGAGAGAAAAAAATTTAATCGCGCTTTTTTAGGATGGTCCATTTGTATGGGACGAGCTTATTCAGGGCATGATTTTATCCTCTTATTTCTGGGGCTATACGGTATCTTTGCTACCTGGCGGAAGACTGGCAGAACTTTGGTCAGCCAGATGGGTGATGAACGGATCGGTCTTGCTCAATCTCGTCGCTTCTATACTGTCGCCCATCGCTGCGCGTACCAATCATTGGCTTTTTATAGCAATGAGATTCCTTCAAGGAATTGGTGGTGTTAGTAATGATTTGTTACATTATTTTCTCAAATGCTAATGACGCATGTATAAATTTTATAAAATATTTTACCTTGGATTTAAAAATTTTTTTATTCTTGAATTATATCTCCATTTTTAAAAGGGTTCCTAAAATTCCCTGAAAAACTTTTATATCAAATATATTGTTCAAATGTTTAATTGCTACATTGAATTATTATATACGATTTAGAATTTATAAATTTTTACCACAGATT